TTTCGTTCCAAACAACACACACACACACACACACACACACACACACACACACATAAATCCACAACAGAAGAAATATAGATGACCTGCCAGCAAAGGGTGAGCAGATTGCCTAAATAAGGTATCAGCAATTCAGATATTAAGTGTAGTGTAACAAAACTACGTTTCGTGAAAAAATGGACCACTGACATCGGCCTATCCGCAAATAAGATGACGTTCGCCATTATCAGAGGCTGATGTTTATCTGTTGTGTCACATCAATTGTACCCTTGCTAAATATTGTATTGGTTAAATTACAACTCTGATATAGGAGAAATAGGTTTTCCACTACTGGCACAAATTGCACGCAAATACCCGTGAGCTCCATACACCAGAACGGACTCAGTTCAACTCTGACAACTCTCACATCTTGGATTACAACAGAAATAGACTGAACTGCAAAAAAAAAAAAAAAACACATTGATGTTGGCAACTATCGCTATCGGCCTAATTGTTATTTTAAACATCAGTATTGGTATCAGCCAAGAATTTCTCATTCAGTGCATCCCTACTCTCTGCTTTTACGATGCTATTCTGTGCATGTATGCTTGCAGGGGTCACCTCGTTCAGAGAATACAAACACACACGCAGTCGCACTGAAGGAAAGAGGAGCATCATCATTCATATATATGTGATTAAGTAATTAAAAAGGGAATAGTAAAAAGAAATTCTTTGTTTGGCAAATTCTTTGGTGGGAAAGAATATGCACAGAAGTGGCAAATGAATGATGCATTCACCTCATAAATCATGACACACTGCTAAAACCAAGTTTCTAGGGCTTTGATAACGAAATATATCGGTAACTATATCAATGTTATTGATGTTGAGCCTAGTATTCCTTGGTTTTTCAGATGAAAAACAAATTTTCTGGTATTTCCCACCCCTGATGGTGTGTGAACAGCAAGTCCTCATCCTTGAACTTTTCTATAAAAACTTTCAGGGAAAGTTGAAGAGGAGGAAAACTGAAGTAACTCCAGCCAGTGAAATATGAATTAATAATGAACATGCTTGCAAGATGAGAAAAAAAATAAAAATGGACCTAGTCAATGTCCTATCTCCCCAAGGGATGTTCAGACTCATCCAACAGAGCTGAAATCTTGTGAAGATTCTCAGACAGCGAGGTAGCAATGAGAAATGGAAAGGATTGCATGGTGAAAGGAAAGAAAAAAGAGAAAGAGGGAAGAAGCTAAAGAGAAGACGACAGCTGCCTCCAGGATGCTGAACACCACAAAAATACACTTAACTAAGTGAATATACAAGCGTACCACTTATATGCTGCATATATACGTGTGACAGAGAGAAATAAACGCTGGAGAAAGATGAAGAACATAAGAGCATTTTCCTCTTCACACTTCTCAGCTCAGTTAAAACATTCACCAAAATCACTCTGAGTCTTTCTCCCTCTAGGCCCCTGAAAGCATTTGACCCTGTTAACATCATTACCAGAGAGAGCATGAGTGCGAGGGAGACAGAGAGATTCCAAGATGAGGGACAACTGAAGGGAGCAAGATGAAAGCGGAAGGAAGAGGAAACATTTTCATGCCAGGGGAATGTTAACATTAATAGAGGCTATGGGCCTGGTTCCATACGAATCGTGCAAGTTTCCTGAGATTTTGCAACAAAATAAACCTGTACATGCTTCATTATATTACAGCTTGCGAGCTGAGAACTGCCTTTTTCTTCATTTCCTCTCGTCTTCATCTAAATTTAATAACATAAGTGAATTTGTGCTTCTGCTGATGCTGGTGAAAACCCACATTGTTCCTTGCTCATTTATTGTACATGGCACTGGGTAAGCATGTCATCTTAATGTAAACCATGTAATGGAGTGATGAGAGTCCACACTCCCTTCCCCATAGCTTTGTCAGATTCTTGGATCTTTGATTTATAGGCTCCAGGCGGCATTGGATATTACAATTCAGGCCTCATTCACTTGCTCTTTTTCAACTTCTTCTCAGTGATAATCATCATCTGAGTAAGAATATAGAAAGCAGTATAGCAAGGCTGTCATTAACAACCTCTGACCATTTTGCCAACTTCAAAATCTTCAACAAATCCCATATCCACCGTCTGGTTTATTTACTGGGGTGTTTGAGGGAGACTGCATATTTTTCCTTTACTAAGGAGAAAGCTGAATGATTTTAATGCAAAACATTCTAGCTGCTGGAAGCCTGTCAGCCGGGAAACAGGTGTGACACTCTGTGTGTGAGTGGCTGACACTGAGAAATAATACAGCGAGAAAGGGAGACTGAGTGTTCTAACATCCATTAGAGGGCCAGTTAGAAAGGCCAGCAGGCCACTCTAACAGCAGGCAAAAACACATACAATTTGAAAATTGCAGAAATGCTATTGGTTATTACCTTCTTTTATTTGTATTACAGTTATACATCTGTAAGGCAGTACGCTACAGGCAGCATATGTAGTAGGCCTAGATTTGATTCAAATCAATTGAAAGTATCGATTTATTGTGCCCACCCTCCAAAAATCTATAGCCAACCCTTCCCAATAATCCTGCTGCCAGGTCTGACAATAACTGCCCATTACAGCCACTCTAATAAGAGTGAGAAGAGAGAGAGAGAGAGAGAGAGCACAGGAGCGTTCAGGGAGTGGGAGGATGAAGTGGATATACTGTACGTTACTATTTCATCTTTGTATAGCTCAAGTAAAGAGAGCCAGGTGGCTTCAGTGTTATGTGCAAGGATTATGAGATGAGGACAGTTACACGAAGGGACAACTAAACTAAACTAAACTGAAGTTAGCAGTGTTGAGGAGGACTCCCCATCATACTTTTCACAGCCTTGAAAAGGATCGAGAACAGCCAGAGGGCAAAGAGAGAACCAAACATAAAGAAACAGACATGTACATTTTAGTTTAGGTTACCTCTGACACTCCCACTATCTCTAGCTGGAGTACAAAGAGTTTACATGCAAATTCTGTATCTTGCATAGCTCTTCTATCTCCCTCTGAATTGCAACTGAACAGTTTTTTAAAGAGATAGTTCAACATTTTGGGAAATTTGCTTTTTTTTTTTTACCATCTTTGCTGACAGAGATAAGCAGATTGACAGAAGTCTCAATGTGCACTAAATATAAGGCTGCAGCCAGCAACCGGTTGGCTAAGTCTAGCGTAAAGACTGAAGAGAGGGGGAAACAGCAAGCTCTGTCCAAACCTAATAATCCACCTACCAGCACCTCTAAACCTCATTAATTAACAGTTCTTTTGAGGGTTATGTGCTGCGCACGATTTCTTGTCTGTCAGCGAAGTAACTTTGTGAAGTCTCCCGCTGGCTGCTGCTGCTGCTGCTGCTGCTGGCTGCTGCTGCTGCTGCCTAGCCTCACAGTAACAAACAACAAGATGCCAGGAAGCGGTGTCGCGGTCCAATAAATGGTTGGGGTTAGGCTTTGGACAGAGGCCAGTGTTTTTCTCTATTTCCAATGAACGCGGATCCGCTTTGGTTCACCCTGGGTTCATGCTGTTCCTCTGCCGCTTACTATGTCTAACCAGTCCTAATTTATGGGCCCCCTGGGCCGACAACAGTCATGACCCGCACCCTGCACTGTTGCTCATAACAGCTGGTTGAGACCAGGATGGAAGCAGCAGGGATGTTTTTTTAGGTTCTAATTCAATACTTTCTGTGCTCAATTGTTTACTGTGTGCGTGTATGATCTGTGGTCGAACACTGTAAATGTAGAATAAGCATTGGGGACTATTCCTTAGGCCTATTTTCTCCTATTTTGTTTCCAATGCAAGTTAGATATCTTGTCGATAGTGTAACAACAGGAGCAGATCATAATCTATCCTTTTGCTGTTGAACAGCTGCCCTCTTCATCCTCCCTCCCCGTACAACGCCTCCAGCCTGGCTGCCGCCTTTCCTGTCTTGACCACATTATCAGC